TAAAAAAATGTCTTCATATTAATTGAGTAACATCTACTTTTTGAGAAGTACCTCATCAAGTACGTATCCATAAAGCTTTTAGAAAAAAAGAGAACCGGGTCTGTGTCAAACCAGTGCAATGGCAGTGAGGTGCCCAAGAGCAGCTGCCTTACAAACTCGGTGGGTTGGCTGGCAAGCGAACACCAGGGGTGCTCCTGAGACTGCCTCCCTGGTGCCTGGATTACACAAACATGGCATCACACCCTAGGATAGGTCAGGAGGATTGCTCAAACGTGTTTCCTAGTAAGGAAGACTAAGGTGTTTCCCTTCTGCTTATCTCCTCACCTCTCACCCCTGCCCAAACAAGTAAACTAAGGTTCATGTATTCCAGACAAAGGAATGAGTAATTGGTTCACAGAAAAGTAGGAGACCGAAGCATGGAAAGAACAGTTAGCGACTTCAATGTAACAGCAGTCTGCTTCCTCAGGCCTTCGTGGTTTCACTCTCCAGTCTCTCCTCCCATACCCCCCTCCTGAATAAGGAGTGGAACAGGGCAAGACCAACCGGAAGCCTAAATGATGGTGGGTGGGAGTAATATGTAGGGGAGTGCTAAGTTCCCGCATGTCTGCTTCAACATTCATCCCACTGTAACGGTATGAAGAGTCGTGCTCTTTGGGAGGACGGGCATCTACAAGGGGGTGCGCTGCGTGTGCCCCTCCTCCCTTTATCCTTTATTCTTTCTGCCATGGTCTGAGGGACCATGCTCTTACCTCCAAAAGTCATGCCGACTGCCACCACCTTCACCTTAGCGTTTCTGGCTCCCAGAACTTAATTTCTGCTTTTCATGACCTGTCCATTCTCAGATTCTCCATTACAGTAGCACAAATGTACTAAGGCAATAGGATCCCCAAATAAAATCCATCTCCACGTGGCCCCCGTGACTGCAATTTTATTTGGCAAGAGGATGTTCGAAGACGCAATTGGTTGGAGAAGTGATCTTTCTGGTTGCAGTGTGCTATAGATCAACGGTAGGATCCTTCCCGAGGACAGGGAAGAGGGAAGAGGGCCGGGCAGACTTCTCCTTTTCAGAACTAGGAGAAAATTAATTTCTCTTATTTTCAGTCACTCAGTGTATGACTCCAGTTAGTAATCCTACGAGTATACTCTGTATTAATATTTAGTCATAGCAGTATTTTTGTGTGTGTGAACAGGCACACATGCGTGTGTGTGGGGGGTGTGTGTAGGAGCATGTGTGTGGATGTGGTCTCCACCTTGTTTGATTGATTGTTCTGGATCTCACCAAGAAGGCTGGCCAGCCGGTGAGCCCCAGAGTTACTCCTGTGATGGCCTCCCCTTGCCTGGATCACACATGCATGGCAGACAGCACACCAGGTATTAACTGAGTCAGGTCCTCATTCTCAAACAGCAAGCATTTCAGATCGAATTGTCTGCCCATAGCATATACTGTTTGTTTTTTTACTAATTCAAGCAATGTATGCATTGTCTCATGTAGCGAATACTTCAGGGCAAAGGATGTTGTTTCAAAATGAGCAACTGAGTTACTGTGGACGAACTCTGAATATTTCCTCCTCTATAAAACAATTTAGAATCTGAAGGCATGTAATTTATCCCCACATCAAACTATTTTAAAAATTAAAAGTAACTATAGATTTCAACATTTTAACACAGTTGAGAAGTGGAACAAAACCATATTGTTGTCTATTAAATATTTTACTTATCTGTAAGATGTATTAACTAGTACCTTGTATGGTCAAAACACTAAAAATAAAATCCAGCTGTCTCCCTAATGTAGCCCAGTATCCAAGTCTGTTACCATCACTCCATAGGGTGATCTTAGTCACCAAGATGAACAACTTTAGTGTCTTAAGGTTATTTGCAATTAAAAGCTAAAGTGTCAACAGAAACTCCCTTTTGTTCTTTTTTTAGAATTTTGCCTATATACAGGATTCACCAAGTATTCCCTTCCAGTAATTTAGAGTATGCACACATAAAATTGTGGCTAGCCTTATCCATGAGTACACAGAAAGGCCTTAGTGTTCTACTGTTTAATGTGTATGTGGGTGTGTGCGCTCACATGCGTGTGCAGGTATGTGTGAGCAAGCAGAGGCCAGAGGAGGACGTCCATAGTCTGGTTCTACTGCTCTCTGCCTTCTCTTGAGTAAGGGATACCTCACTGAAAGGAATTTGCCATTTTTTGGCGAGGCTGGGAGCTAGTAAGCCCCAGCAACCCTCCTCTCTCTGCCCCCATCCCTCAGCACTTGGGTTACACACATGTGACTAAACCTGGATTTTTGTTTGTTTGCTTATTGATGTTTTTGTTTTTACATCCTGTCCACAGTTTCCCTTTCCTCCGCCATCTCGCCTCCTCTCCCTCACCCTGTCCACTCCTCCTGCTCTGTTTCTCTTCAGAAAAGGCCAGGCCTCTTTTGGGTACCAGCTAGCCATGGTGTGTCTAGTTTTAGTGAGACTAGGCACCTCCTCTCCTATTAAAGCTGGAAGAGGCAGCCCAGGAGGAGGAAAGGGTCCCAAAAGCAGGCAACAGATTCAGAGACAGCCCCTGCTCCCACTGTTAGGAGCCCCACAAGACCAAGCTACACAACTGTAACCTATGTGCAGAGAGCCTAGGCCAGTTCCATGAAGGCTCCCTAGCTGTTGGTTCAGTCTCTTTGATTCCCTATGAGCCCAAGTTTAAGCCTGGCCTTTTACATGAGTAAAAATGGAGTATGAATTCAGGTCCCCACACCTGTAAAGTAAGCACTGCTTATCCACTGAGCCATTGCCCAAGCCTCTCTTGTCCTCATTTGCACTAAGCATTTAGCCAATGTTAAATGTCACAATGGTTATATGATTTTAGTATTATAACATTTATAATCTTCACATTTCAAATAGTTTGTAAGTATGTACTTATTGTACAGGTTACTAGTATCCTACTATGGGAACTCAGTCACTCAGTCACTAAACAAGTCACTGCATTCAAATATGAAAAACCGTAATTCCTAAGGGGACGGCACCCCATAGTGCACATGAGTAGTGGGTGTGGTGGTTTGAAGTTTAATGGCCCCCAGGGCTCATATATCTGAATGCTCAGTCATCAGGGAGTGGCACTAATTGAGAAGGATTAAGGGGCGTGGCCTTGTCGTACTGCAGTAGGTGTATCCTTACTGAAGAAAGTGTGTCACGGGGGTGGGGTGGGGTAGGGTGGGGTGGGGGGGGGGGGGGTCAAGTCCAGTGTTGCAGTCTCCCTCCCCGCAGGGATCAGGATCAGGACGTGGCTTCTTCAGCATTGTGCCTGACTGCTGTCATGCTTCCTGACGGGATGATAATGAACATCTCTGAAACTGTAAGCAAGTTCCGATTAAATGTGTTCTAAGAGTTTCCTTGGTCACGCTGTCTCTTCACAGCACTGGACAGGAGGGTTGACTGACAATACCACAAGATAATGCACATTTGGTATCTGATTCTTTGGTTTGTTATGTTTATTATTTCATAATTTCAAGGTTTAGCTGGTTCTATAAAATTTGAGGCTTTGTTTATGGAACCCCATTTTTCTGATTAAAAGGGGAGAAATACACATTTAACTGTGACCTAAATACAAGTTGTTAAAAGTTCCAGATTTCTACTTTGCCAACTACGTTGGGGATATGACACCATATTAGAAATGGAATTCAAAATATCAATTTAGTCACAATAGTAAATTGAATATATTTTAATTTTTGAGGTTAATAAGAAAATAAAGTTTGATAGTAAATAATTCAATACATGGAAAAATGTTTTCAAAACTGGCAATAGTAGAGCAAGAAAAAAAAAAAGCAAAGGCCAGGAATAAGCAATTTACCGGAGAAGAAATTCGAAGTCCAATAAATACATGAAAAGAGTCAGTTCTTGCAACAAACTGTCAACCACTGACTATTCCTGAATTCAAATTACACAATATTCATAATTATAAAGAATCATTTTAAAGAATAAATGAAATAATTATAAAGAATCACTTAAGCATAGTTCTAGGAAACAGATACATTCACACACTAGTGCAGATATGTTAGTAGATTTTAGAAGGAAAATTTACAAATGTATATCAAAATTCAACAAGTACAAAGATCTGGACTTTTTTTTTTCTGAAAATTGTGCCAAGAAAAATTTGAGCTGTACATGACAGTGTACATAAGAATATGCAGTGGGAATATGAAGAAATAATGGTTAAGTCCCATTCAGTGGGACAGTTCTCTCACAGTATGTTAGAAAAGTAGGTGGACAAAACAGTTCCAACTGTGCAAAACAATATACTCTGTAGGCATTTGTTTTAATCTATAAAATATGTGCAGGAAGGTTGGAAAGACACATGCCAAAACATTATGGCAGTGACAGTTATCTCCTAGCTGTGGAAGTAATAATTATTTTAATTTTCTTTTTGTTTTCCATGCTTGCTTTTTCTGGCTTTTTGACATTAGCGGTTGGTAAATTCTTTAAAAATAAAGACAATGGTGTGCATTTAAAATGGTCTGTGCACTTGTTTGACACAAACTAGGGTTATCTGAGAGGAGGGAACCTCAGCTGAGAAGATGCCTTTATAAAATCCAGATGTAGGGCATTTTCTTAATCCCATTAGTCAGTGATTGATGGGATTGGGCCCAACCCATTGTGGGCGGTGCCATCCCTGGGCTGGGGTCCAGGGTTCTGTGAGAAAGCAGGCTGAGCAAGCCCTGGGGAACAAGCCAGTAAGCAGTGGTCCTCCAGGGCCTCTGCATCAGCTCCTGCCTCCGGGTTCCTGACCCACTTGAGTTCCTGTCCTGATCTCCTTCCTTGATGACTACAGTATGCAAGTGTGAGCCAAATAAGCCCCTCCTCCCTGCCTTGCATTTGGTCACTGTGTTTCATCCCAGCAACAGGAACTCAAACTAGAACAGTGTGTAAGATGAGTGTGTGCCAACAGTGTATATCAAATCACCTACTTTCAGAGCTAAGGTGCACAATAAAACCAAGTTTATTCTATTAAGACTCACTTTAGTTTCCCGAAGAGAAATCCTTGGACTTCATCTGCTTCAGTCTCCTTTTCTGTAGTGGCATCTGTCGTAGCTACATTGAAGGAAAAATAAACATTTGTAGGCTGGGCAAAGAACACAGAGCACTCTCAGCGAAGGGAGTTCTGTTTGTTTAACATTGCTTTTCTTTCATGCACAAGGTTATCGTATGTGCACATACATGTACTATAATCCTAAATAAATGTGCACTATCTCTAAAAATGGGCTTAGATGGTGAAACATTGCATAAGCCCATGAATGTCATGTAAATCTCTTTATAGATCTATTTTGTAAACCCAACTGAAAAGACAAAGGCCCCACAAGAAATCCTGGTTTATGCGTTCAGGTCTGATGGCAGATCCATACCCTGACAAATGTGAGTTTTTGCACAACTGAGGATTCGTAAAGGTAGTGGAGGGATCTTTGACATTTCGCTCATGGGCTCAAAGAACAATGGTGGTGTTACACTCATTCCCTTTTCCTACCAAATAGTGTGGAAGTACACATGGGAAGAGAGCAAGGGCTTGCCCCCATCACAGTTCGTGAAGGCACAGCAGCTGAAAGTCTGAGTCTCCACTGGAAGCAGAGGCAGGCAGGGTGCCCTGAGTTACTTGTGTACTGGCAAAATACTTGCCGATTTCAATCACTGGGTAAAACCTGCTGTCTGCTATGATTTATGATGGACAGGAACCTGGAAAAAGACACTAATGATAAACAGCACACTTGGTGGAAAAAGAGAAAGACAAAGGGACAACTTTAATAAAGTGAGAAAAATTCCTCAGAGAAGGCACAAGAATAAATGGGCTGGAAAAGGGGAAGCAGACGGTGAGGAACCAGGAACTATCTCCACACTGAGGAGAGCTGCTAGGAGAGGGAGAGTCTGTTTTCTTTAAAGGAATGCCACTGGTAAGTGGGTCACACTCCAGTAGAAGGCCACACAGTCAAGGATATACGGGGTACAAACAGCACTTGATTTTTTTTTTTTAAGAAGGGAAAAATTTGTGTGGGTAGAGAAGGGTGTGTGTGTCTGGGAAGAGTTGGGAGGATGAGATGAATATAATCAACACATATTCCATGGAATTCTCAAAAGAAAAAAAAAACTATGTGTATAGGGGAAGCAATAATTGGATGGCTTGGTGGGTTATAAAAAAACCAAAGGAAGAGGATGAGGAGTTAAGAAGAGTGTGCTCTAGGGAGGGTGGGCAGAACTGGAAGGAGAGAGTGGGGCGCGGGAATGGCAAAGACACCGTTTACACGAATGAAAATTTCAAAGAAGAGAAACATTGAAACTTTGAAAATCTTACTTTTAATTTGGATATCGTCCAGTGCTTTGTATTCTGTATCTTTAATCGCTAGCTCCACTCCATAGCCAGATAACAACATTTTTCTTGAGCTTGGCTTCTGTTCATTTATTTTAGAAAAACGGGAGACAGTTAGGTATCTTGGTTAAACTTAGCGCCATGACACAGTAGGGTACTATAGTGAATTAGTGACACTGCAGGCACACTCGTGTGCATGGGGCGAGGTGCTGAGGCTTGAGCACAGGCCAGGCAAGTGCTAGGCAAGCACTCAGGCACCAGGCTAGCCCCCTGCCCAACACAAAAAGCGTTAACCACCATGAAATGGACAATGAGTTAACAGAGGATCCAATACTGTGAAGTGTACTTCCTTCGTTCACCTCCACAAGGCTTGCTTCTGACTCATTAGGTAGCTAGTTCCAGGACAACCAGAGAGCAAGCAAAAGTAAATCATGGAAAGCAAGACTAGAGACGGCAGGCAGGTAGGCAGACAATAAAACTCTCTGTGCTTAGGGCCCTGGAAACCCTGATTAGATCTTTCTTCAGGTATGTCAATGTCTAAAATATTCCAAATGCCACAAAGTAATGAGTGGCTATAGTTGACCACATCTGAGCCATCTGTAACATCTGTATTTTAGTACTAATTTTCCTCCTCCTAGGGAAGGAAGAATGTAAAATGGGTATCTCTGGAGAGTCCTCCAATAAACAAGGCAATGCAGATGAATACAACGGACTTTTAGAAAGTAAGTTTTCTTCCTTCAGATCCTGGCATTCCTATCTGCTGTGCTCTAACTATCGTCATTTGGCTTTTTTTCCAGGGGTAAGAAAACTAATTTTAATGACTCTGAATGCACTGAATTCTTAGAAGCCATGCGTGTTTGCTAACCACAAGTTTGCACGGGGACAGTTTGGTGCTCTTCCATGTGACAGGGGAGTATGTAAAGACAGGCTAGAGGAAAGAAATCCCCTTTACTCTCCTTTTTCTTCCCTCATGTTTTTCTTGGCCTTAAAATCAAATTTACCAGAAGAATGTCTATCTCTTGACCCATTTTATTTCCAAATAAGAACATGCATGAATAACCTTCGGATACACAGCACTGAATTTAATTTTCAAGTATCTTAGGAACACTGCAATTAAAGGTGGAGTCGTTATAATTACACTGACATGAAAAAGTTGAAAATGTTCTAAAGTTTTCAATTTCATATAGCTACCCCAAAACAAAATGGTAGTTGGTGGCTTAGAAATCTGAAATCAGAAGGCCACATGTCCTGTCAGGCGTCCTTAGGAAACACAATTCCACATAACCAATTTCTATAATCTGTAACTAAAAAGTTACTGGCTCTTGGATAAAAAAAAGTGTTTATTAGATTTGTATGTACTTTCTCCTTTTGAAATATACCAAAATAAAAACCCAACTGTAGTTTAAGAAGCTTGTATGTGTAAGCCGCAATGCTCGTAAGCCAAGAGGGCTAAGACAAACCTTCATATTTCTATCTCTTCTTCCCCCCACAGAAACACATCTGCTCAAAAGGAAGCATCAGGAAGTCTATTTTCATAAAGCCATAGGTTGATTCAATCTACATTATAGCTACTGTGAGTGTATAAGGTGTCATCCGTTAAGTACAAGGCCACAATTTAATGGTACAAAGCTAACACATGGCTAACATGACCCCATGGAATTTACATTATCCAGAGAATGTTTAAAACAGATCCTCAAAATGATAGGCACATGTATAGCGAGACACTCTAGCTCCACCCCTGGTAACCGGGACAGGCGTGCCGGAACACGCCCATGAGGGCGGGGTGAGGGGGAAGTCTAAGGTGACCTAAGGGGCTCTTAGAGGACACGTGGGCGCTCTCTTCTGCTCCCACTTTTGCTGCTGGCCGTGGTCCCGGCTCCTTCCTCCTCGCTTTGGCCTGCCCTGGGCTGGTGTGTGGGAATAAAGAAAACCTTGCCCTATTGACTGCTGGTTGATCACTAACACGTTAGCATGGTGAACATTAACAAGGTAAGCATGTGCATTTATCTCCCACATCCATTTTCTTTGACTGTGTCTCTTGTCTCTGATCTGCTCCGCGCAATGGAGAATTACACCCACAGAGTGCTACTGCTCCTGATGAATACGCATCTACTCTGGCAAGGAAAGGAAAACGATTCAGAAGTACTAGTGTAAAGAAACTCAGCTATAAAGAACGCTTTGTAGGCATCCTGTAGTCCCATCATTGCATCCTCTTTTATCTTCATGTTTTCATTGAAACACTTTATTATCATCTAACATAATATACCTATGGGTTTTTCACCTCCTGCCGGTAAAATGTAGGCTTCTGGAAAAGGGACTGTTTCTATCTTACTGCCTTGTAAATAATATTTGTCATAGAGGCACATGAAGAATTAATGACATAAATTACAAAACATATGCATTTAGTGAACCTATGCTTTTGCTATGTATTTTTAATCTTCATGTGAACTATTAAAATATCTATATTCCAGTAGTTTACCAAAAATTTAAGATTTTAAAACAAGATTTCCTCATTGCTAGTAAATAGCTTTGACTTAACTAATCTCATACAATAAAAGTTTATAAACGAGGATAGTGAGGAGCACTGGAAAAACACTTCAGTAACATATGATTAATGGGACAGACCAACCTACAGATGGCCTCTGTATTGCAGTGGTCCCTGGTTTTCTTTCTTTTTAAAATGCAATTCTTAGAACAACTGCAATATCCTCCCAGGCTTTGGCACCCTGAGACATGGGGGACACGGCTGGAGCAGCCCAGGCTCTGTTCTTATCTCCAGAGAATATGATGCTGTAAAACACTATAGATCAACTAAAACAGTTCTCAGAAATATGTAACAGTAAATGTTCATAGCAGTAACAAAGAAAATGGATCTACATTCAGAAACCTAAGGGTTACTTAAAGAAACTAGCGTGTACAAGAAACCTCTAAAGCAGATAAAGGAAAGGAACTACAGAGGGCAGAGTGCTGAATAGAAAGATAACTAAAAACCAAAGTGGCTTCCATACACAAGATGAACAAAATTGATAAGCCTGCATCTAGGTCAGAAAAGAATAGCACAAATCACCAATCCTGGTAAAACCGACCAACCGACCAACGACAACACAGAGTAAGTACCTTGATATAGTGGCGGAGAACATAGGCAATTTTACCATTTTTAGACTTCTTAGACAATACTCTGTGAAATTCAGCAAATTCTCTTGTACCAATTTCTGCATAGAGAATAACCACTGGTAAGTTCTCATTGACTGTGGGAAACTTATGATCTTTTTCAAATAGGTAAGGCCTGGGCCTAAAATGAAAACAATACAAACTTTCAAAAGCAGTGAGAGTGAGCAGCACATCAGACATACAAACACCATGACGGTTCATACTTCTGCTATCAGAGAGCACATAGTGTGCACAACTACACAAATAGGAAGGTAGACATGGGAAAAGAAGACATTTGTTTTAACTAAAGTTGACTATTAAAAACATTTGAATTTATATTTAATTAGAATAAAATTTCACTATAGTTTGTAACCCCTGAAAATAGTTTCCAAATATTTCAAAGACCATGAATGGCACACCTTCATCAAAAAGTCAGTGTTTACTACCATGCCCCCTGAATGAAATCCGTAAGGAGGTTCAGGAGTTGGAGTCCTGCAGGTCTGCAAGCCCTTCCACACATCCTGACCACTCATCTCAGGGACACTAGCCTAGGTCATTTACAGTTTCTAGCTAGTTCTGCCTTTATGTGTAAAATTGTTACTATCACTTTCTTAACCTTTTCAGTTTCTGAGGCAAAGACCAGTTAAATATCTAGGATATAATAAAGAAACCAAATAGAATAAGACTAGATGGGAAAAAAATGCTCAGGTTCCATAGGAAGTAATTACTGCTTTAGGCCACAATTTGGAAACGTTTTCCTTACACGGGAATCCAGACATACACACAGCATCTGATATGCGTGCACGGTGTGAGCAAGGAAGCAAGGGGTGGCAGACTCCTCCTCACACTTTTCTAATTACGGGCATTCCTGCTCCCTCAAATTACCTGCAACATGGGCTTTTTTTTTTTTCTTTCTTATCTTTAAAATGGGCTAAGACATAAAAAGCTTCATGCAGACACTAATGGAAATGGAACAGACACATTTGGATATCAGAGTATTAAATTTTGTATCCCAATCTCTCCCCACAAAGCAGCCCTCTTGATATGACTGTACCTTGAAGCAGCCTTATTCAGCAGCTTTTTAATCTCATTGGTTTTACAGGTGCGCTCCCGGTGTATAACCACGAAGGCATTGCATCTGTCTGGTGGTGGTTCAGCAGCAGCAACCTGGAATCCCAAATGTGATTGATGGTGTCACAGTAGCTCACCGTTAGAACACAACCTTTAATCTTAACTGTCACTGTGGCTAAAATAACTCACCTTTTACTATTAAGTTACTGTTCTAAATATAAAATATTTTCTGTGAATGGAATTTAAGAAATATCTGATAAAATAAACTTTATCCTAGGAGATATATGCATGCAAGCTTTTGAAAACAATTCTATAAAATTTTTATGATAAGTAATTTCACTGGCAATGTATCTTCATGCTTTCCTAACTATGAACGCACAGTATTCTTTTATCAATTATAATTAATTACAACAGTGGTAATAAAATCATCAACAGGTTATGGAATGAAATCTATATCTGTGGAACACTCTGAGTCAATGATGTTCATTTTAAATAGCTCAACCTATAGTGTGTACCCTCAGTAGGGACTGCTTGGGTGTTTTACCTGTTGAAACATCTGAATAGTTGGAGAGTGGGCCCGTATAGAGAAAGCAAACTTTAAGAGATTGATGTGTATATTGTCTAAAAACTGCCCAGCTTTCTTCAGGATTAGGTTGTAGTAAGAATAATCAGATGCTACAAAGAGAAAAAGATGTTAGCATTTTACATTCAGTATACTGACATAATCCACCTACAGTGCTAATTCAATCAGTGTTGAATCATCATATTTTAAGTTTGGGTAAGCTGCGAAAGGAAAAAAATTATTTTGTCCGTTTCAGTTTCAGTGTTTTCTGAGCAATCAGCAAAAGATAAGGTTAAAATAATCTTTCCTTTATAATCTATTTGGAATCTATATATTCAATCTATATATTCAATCTATATATTCAATCTATTCCAAGGTTGTGGATTATGATACAGGATGATTCTCCATCCCACATGCAGTTTAAGGGGAGTGGAGAAGAGTCGAGCAAGCAGAATATGACTGATAAGATTTGAAGGACACCAGTGAGTTTGGTCAGTGAGCCAAGTGTATTCAGCATGCCCACAATGCTCCAGGAAACACTTCAAACCCTACTTGTGCCATGAGGTATTAATTTTGTCTGTAGACGGAGCACAGGGACAAACTGTAAGAGTGTAAACTATAAATTTCAAATAATAATTATGTATCACTATAGGTTAATCAACTCCGGTGAAGGGCTCTGAGTGAGGGAGGCTCTTCATGTAACTGAGCAGAGCAGATGTGAGGGTAGCTGTATGTGGTGATGTGTTGTTTATGATCTAATAAAACCACTGGGGATCAATCAAAATGCAAAGCCAGCCACAGCCACCTTTAATTCCAGGACTCAGGCAGATGGATCTCTGTGAGTTCAAGGCCACCCAGGGCTACATGAGAGTGAATCAGTCTAAAAGAGAAACAGAACTCACGCCTTTAATCCCAGAACTAGAGAGGTATAAAAGGAAGAAGCAAAGGATCTCATGTGAAATTTAGTTTCCAGGCAGGGAGAGCCTTGGCCTCTGAGGATTAGTGGAGACAGGACTGCCGTTTCAGCTTGGTAGAGGTAAGAGCTACTGTTTGGCTGCTATGCTTTTCTGATCTTCAGCTTGAACCCCAATATCTGTCCTGCATTTTTATTAATCTTGTTACATCTGTACTTCTTGCTCACTTCTGTTGTAGTCTTAAAATAAAGTCTACTAAAACAAGAAAAAAAAATCCTAGATGCCAAACTAACACTGTTTCAAAGAAATTTAGGTTAAATAACTCAACAATTTTGATTTTTTCTTTAATATATAATCATTATGATTTGAGTTTTCCTATAGGCTTTGTATCTTAGAAATGAATGCTTACAACAGTTTCTTAGTTAGGGTTTCTACTGCTGTGATAAGGCACAATGGCCAAAAGCAATCTGTGGAGTCAAAGGTTCTATTGCAGTTTGCATGTCCTGATGGTAGTCCTTCATGACGGGAAGTCAGGGCAGGAACCTGGAGGCAGGAACTTGAGCAGAGAGACAATGAACAGATCATGGAAGAGAGCTGCCTATAGGCTTGCTCCCCAAGGCATGCTCTTTCCTTCCTTCCTTCCTTCCTTCCTTCCTTCCTTCCTTCCTTCCCCTCTTCCCTCCTCCCTTCCCTTTTTGAGACAGGGCCTCACTCATGCAGCCTTGACAGTCTGACTTCAACCACCATGTCCAGCCCCAGCTGGCTTTCATTTACAGCCCAGGACCACCTGCCCAAGGCTGGCACAACCCAGAATTGGCTGGGTCCTCCCATATCAGTCACTTACTAAGAAAATGTACCACAGGCTTGCTCACAAGTCTGAATTGGGACATTATTTCAACTAAGGTTCCCTCTGTACAAATGACTATCTGACATAAAAACAGGCAGCATGGTTTCCATTAAACCATCTTTTCAAGTTTAGAGAGGGTGTTTTCTTTCTTTGTTTTGAGAAGAAGTCTCTTGCAGCCCAGGTTGACATGTATATAGCCAAGGATGACCTTGAGCTTCTCATCCTTCTGCATCATAAATGATGGGATAATATCATGCCTGTTTCTTTGGTAATGCTGGTGATCCAAACCAGGGTTTCTTGCATGCTAGGCGAGAACTCTACCAACAGAGCCAAATGCCCAACCTTCAAATTAAAGTTCAGAGTTACTAATGCAATTAGCATCCATATTTGATTATTATCGTTTAAAACATATTCTATGCACGTGTATAAGCATAAATTTCATATGTTAAAATTTGTGCATCACTTACCTGTTTGCTTATAAACTGCTAATTCTCTTACTGTTTCCACAAACTGCCAAAACTTTTCATTACTTTCTTCTGCCATAAATTCACTGTTAATCCATGAATAAAGAAAACAAAAATTAGATACTATAAATTATACTGTAGAACAAAATAATATTTTATTACAAAACTAATGCTAAATTACTGATATCCATTTGCTAAAACAGAATATGAAAATAAATTGAAATTCTCACCCGAGGGAATTATACATATATGTATATGCTAAAAAATTACTATATATATATATGTAAATAACTTACATTTTCCTTATTATTGACAACTCAGAAATGTATAATTTGCTTTTCTTTCTACAGTAAATACCACTAAGGTAACAAAAAAAAATAAGAGCATTACAGGTAAATAGTAAATGAAAAAAAATCACCTATTGCTCATCTGCAAAATTGGTAGTATAAATACTATATAAAAGTCATATACAGGACCCTATTGCTGATATACCAAAGACTTGGATCACAAGACATGGAGAAATCAAACTGCAGGTGTTTGAGGAGAAAATCAAAAGTCTTAACCGTTGGTGATCTCTGCAAACTACAATAATGACTCCCGTTTCAACAGAGGCATGAATGTTAGGAGGTAAGGAATTGTTTTCTGATTGGATTTAAGGCCCACTCCACAGGAGGAAACTCATGACTGGTACTGTAACCTTGCAAAGAACATGGGACTTGGGGTGTTCCAGGCCCTAGGAGAGGACCCACTATTGCTTTGCTAAAGGGACACAGTATCAAACTGCCTTCCAAATACTTGGGTCACATCACAGGTGAGTGCTTCTCTGTGGGTACCCATCCCTTGATAGAGTGTATCATCACCACTTCAGGGAACACTGCAGTTCAGGAAACATGAAGAGCCAACAGGGGAGCACTGCTGAGACACTGACTGCTGGACACACTACCGCTAACCTCATAAGCTCACAGTAGCTGTGGCTGCCTGCATAAAACCATACAACATCAAGCTGGTCAGCTTTCCAACATGGATAGAAATGGGGCTCACAAGGCCCCAAGCCAGTCTGAGAAGCCACGGGCAGACAACTGATGGCTTATGGAGGGAGTAGAACCAGCTTCCTTCATGGCCATGCTCTGGGAGGTTGGTCAAGCTCAGGCAGATGGCCCAGCACCAGTGCACATATTAGCAGCAGTAATTATTCTCAGTGGGCTACTTTTTTTTTAATGAGAGGACATAGGTGGGGCCCCCAAGAGCATTTGGGGGAGGGAAAACAGATACGGTCAAAATTCATCGTATAGACATGTGAATATTATTATATAAAAATCAACACCAAGTAGTTCTAAAGCCAAAATGATAATTTTATTTAACTGCTTATTTACGTAGATAATATTACTTAACACAAAATACTAATACAAAAATGAACAGGAAACTGTTACACTTTGCAAGGTCTTTAGGCTTAAAGCCCAAATAATCTTCAACTTTAAGAAAAAAAAAAGACCAAGTCATTTAAGACCTTTCAGATATAATGAACTATTATTTATTCCAGGATAGAAGAGCATGGAAAACACATTTAAAATGTCCATTTTGATGACTTAGAGATAAAAAACACAAGATTTAAAAGTAGAAAGCAATCCTAAATAGGATATGATAAAAGTTGGGGGTGGTACATTATTTTAAATAAGGAGCAGCATCTGATGTCAGTTGGCTTGGCCAATAGCAGCGATACGAAACTTGAATATACTCGAGGCCATAAGCAGTTCATCCTTTTCTAGGTTTGGGAATATTTGCATATGCAACATGCTTATTCTGGAGAAGAGACAAAGTCTAAATATGTAATTCATTTCTTTTATATACACATAACCTGAAGATAACTTCATACAATATCTTTAGTTCACTTATGTTTTGATTCTGTCCCATGAGGTCGGGTGTTTTTCCACTTTGGAGTAATGTTGACACTGAAAATTTTAGGGTTTTAGACCATTTAGGATTCAGGTCTGGGATGCTCAGCCTGCACTGTGTATCCATAGGTAAAAGTATAACCCATCAGTAAGACAGAACTCGATTACACTTATTTTCCTCAATACAACACTGCTCTAGGTCCTTTGGGAAGTATTCTAGAATTGTCATCTTTATACCAGTTTCAGCTGAAAGTGGATGAATGAATACAGGAATCACCTGCCTGCATTCAGCAAAAGGTGTTAACTCAGCTGTTGACCTGAACCCTTGGCCACCTCTCTAGAACAACTCATAAGTTTCTTAATTTTCTTCACCATCCCCTAACTTATGTCTCTCCTCATTCTGCCACCTGTGTAGCAAAGAACAACCAGGTGGCACCTTGAATACTGTTTGAAAATCTCCCCAGGTAACTGTCCAAGTTTATTACTTCCAAGTTGGTGATCACAAATGGTTGAACCTACATTAGCCAGTACTGTCAGCTTAAAACAAGACTCACCTTTTTAACTTGCTTCCAAGGAAAAAGGGTCCTTCTGACCCTTCCCAGAACTACTTTCAATACTCATATTTTTATCAGTTTCTTGTTGGAGGCTATTATTCTCCAAAATAACAGCACCTAGTTCTACCACACTCTTGAGTTCTCACCAAAATCACCGCCCTTGTTTTGGTGGCGTCTTCAGGGTTGTATTCTCACCAAAATCACCGCCCTTGTTTTGGTGGTGTCTTCAGGGTTGTATTCTCACCAAAATCACCGCCCTTGTTTTGGTGGCGTCTTCAGGGTTCTATCGGCGTTTTCTACTTTTCTCAAATTCTTCTGGCCAACTCCACAGTTACTTCTTACACTTTTGGGGTCTTGTGGACTTGAGATCCCACTTTTTGGTACCAAGATTTCCCATTGCTCTTGGAATAAATTGCCCAAAACATTGTGGCTTCAAATAATACAGCCTTATTCTTCATGACGCTGGAGGCTACAAGTCCAACATCACGGTCCTGGCGCAGCACAGTACTGCTGACGGCTCTGGACCCGACTCCACGGTAGTCCAGTTTCAGTGGCTGCCGGTGCTCCGTGACTTGAGGCTGTCTAACTCCAAGCTCTGACTCTGTCCTCGACATTAAGCCTTCTCCTTAAGTATTTTTTTTGTCTGTCCTTAAGTATTTTTATCTGTGTCTTTCCTTAAGTATTCTAATCTGTGTCTCTAAGTATTTTTATCTGTGTCTCTCCTTAATTATTTTTATCTGTGTCTCTCCTTAAGTATTTCTATCTGTGTCTTCTGACATTGGATTTGGGACCCACCAAGATAACTAAAAATGCCCTAATATTCTCAATTAGGCTTGCAAAGACACTGCAAAGTGCCATTTGCAGACTTGGGAGCAGTGAGGATGTGGATATATTTTTGTGGTAATCCCAATTAACACAAGTAACAAGGGTGGCAACTTTGAACAGGCTTTAAAGAACATTCTGCAGAAGTGACAATCTGGGACACGCAAAAAGTAAAACATGACAGTACAACTAACAGTTTAGAAAAAGAAATTTGGCTGATGGGAACTAAGTGTGCGATCGGGTCCAGGCACTGCTAGGAGACACTGGATTAGAGGGAGCTATAAAAATGTATTCAAACAAATTGTTGCATAGCACCAAATAAATATAATGTAATACAGTGTGATGAGGTTTCATTCTAGAACCATGGGATGTTGTTTTGTAAATATACAAAAGCAGTTACAAAACTTTATTTTTTTAAAAAAAAAATTGAGACCAAGTATCCTTCTTGTAGCCTCGGGCTGGTCACAAACTTACGAATTTATGATCCTCGGCAAGGATTACAAAGGCTTGCCACCAAGAACCTCAAGAGGCAACATTCTACTCCTGTTTTCCGGAATATGAAAGAGTAAACCCCAGTATATACGTCTGCTGTCTACAAGGTAACTACACAGAATGAGTAACAAATACTCCGGACGAGATTGTGTGCAGGCGTGTGGGTCAGGAACTTTGTAGATCGCCTGCAGGAAAGGCTACAGCCCGCCTTCCGCGGCCGTGACACGCAGGAACAGTCAATAGCGGGAGGGAAAGGAGGGAGGGCAGCGCTG